GCTTAGCCGTTAGTTATGAGTTTATTAAAATACAATTTAATTTAGTTATTTTATTTTTTAAACTGCTATTATACAGACATATTGTTTGTTGCTATTATTAAAAATTCAAAATGAAAGAAATTACTTATGTAAGTATTATTTAATTATTTCTGAAATTAAAAAGTAGGTAGTAGACATTTTTTTTTTTTTTTTTAATAGGTACTTCATTTGTTATTTTGGACAGAGTAAGATATAGATTAAATTCAAAGTATTGTTTGTTTAAAATAAAATATTTTATAAAAAAATTGATTCAAATATTATTTAAATATATTCAAATAGGCAAATACATTTTTTTAAATATTTATTAATGATGCTAGTAAAATTCGTAGTTTTATTACATTAAGAGATATATCTTATATTGTCAACTGTCAACAGACAAATAATAGAGTAAAATGAATGATTTTAATTGTAAAATTTTCTGTGTTGCGTTTATAAGTCTTAATCTAATCAAAAAACATCATATGTAGGTATGGACGTGCTCTTAAAGAAATTATAGAATAAAAATAAAATTTAAATGCAACATATTTTATCAATAGACATAATCCATTAAAACCACATTTTTAATCTACAAGCATATTAATATTATATAAAAACATAAATAAATTACAATTTTCAAAACGTTCTATAATTTGCTATTAATTTAGTATAGGTATTTAGTTCATAGACATAGTGTCAAAAAACATTTTTGTGTTGCAACATGGACTAAATTACATAACACATATGTTAACGAATATAGCTTTCGTGCATAATAAATGTTAAATATATAAATATACATATTTTACTAACGTCAATTAAAACTTGATTCATCAATTATTCGTCTTCATAGTTAGGTAATGCATATTTATATTACACAATAAATTTTTTTTTTGTTCGGTTATTGGTATAATAATAATAAAATTAAAATAATTAAATTGTACATATATCTATATTAGTTTACTTAACTCCAGATTGTTATTTAACTTATTAAATAAGCCTAAAGATCAAAGGACATAATATTCATATAGCCATACAACAGGGGCGGCCAAACAGTCGATCGCTAACAATTTCAAAGTCAATCGTGTTAGAATTTATTTTTAGGCTAGGATATAGTAACTTAATAATAATGACAACTTTTTTTCGAAGTCAATCCTCAAATGTTAAGTATATTTTTAGTAGATCGCGGCCGAAAAAAGTTTGGCCGTCCCTGCCATGTAACATACCTAATTAATAAAAATTTATGTTATTTATTAATAAATAATACAAATTTATTAAAAGTTTTATTTTAATTTAAAATAAACATGGTTTCAAATTTACTTATAACTATTTTCATAGACAAAAACCATCTATTTAATTCCAACTTTACATACCGCACTTAAGTAGTATAATTAAACTTTAAGTACTTTCAATTTTATAACAAAATTAGATATACCTTTATAGAGATAAATGTTAAATGTTCTATCATTTTCGCTATCGAAATATTTTTTTTTTTAGTAATATCTTCAACCAAACTTTAAAATGTCAAGAACATATTATAGAAAATATATAAACGTACCAAATAATGAAGACGATAAGGTATAAAATGTTGATCATATTTATTGATTTAAAAGTAAAAAATAATTTAAAATATGTTTAAGAATACTTATTTGATATTAAATAGTTGTATACTTTAAAAACTTCGTACAGAACTCACTAAGTCCGGTTAGCGTCATTCAATCGTACAACTATTATCATATTATTTATTAATGATCGGTAACTGTTTTAATTTTTATTTCTCTAATATATTATTTGATAAAACGAATATAATATATGTAATTAATAGTTACTCATTATTGATAAACTTGAACTTTAGCCGTGTATTTTATTTTAAAAAGTGTTTGTAAATTATAAACAGTATTGAGTTAAGTTACTATATTATATATGTACATTAGATGTAAACATATAGGTGTAAGAATAATGAAAACAATATATGACGTACCTACCTGTTTATGTATAATATATAATATATAGTATAAAATTGTTAACTTTTACTGATTAACTCAATGTTTAGGTAATTAATAATATAATAGGTATATTGGTAATAAATAGCCAATTAAAAATAATAACAAATTACATCAAACATAAAGTAACTTTCAAAATAAATCATAACTAATTACCTTTTTTAGATAAATATTATTATAAATAAAAATAATATCAATTTTTTTTTTTTTTGTAACTGTTCTGGTATTGGCCCATCTCTATTAATATTACCTTATACATGTTATGTTCGAAATTCGAAACTGTCGATGCTATGGGTTACCAATGTATTATGGTAGATTTTATTTTACTAACTATAATATAATATACTTGGCAACTGCTAAGGTTACTAAAAAAAATCATGGAATTAAAATTAATTAAAATATATACGTAAAGAGAGGAAAATCATGATAGAACTATTTTTATTTTATTTATTTTTTTTTTTTTTTGTCTACATTTCTAGAGTAGTTAAAATATTAGAATACACCATCATCTATTAGTTTGTACGTTTTGTTATCTATTTCTGTATATAATATAATTGGAATATGTGTAGTGCATATTAGTATTTATTCGATTTTATATCACCTAATTTCAAATTAATTAAATCTGTAATTCATATTTTAATGATGACAATTCACTGTTCAAACAATTAATCATATTGAATTTTACTAGTCAAAATAACTTAATTATTGTTTATATTTCGTTTGAGATTCGTAAACAAGTTACGTGTTTATTCTGCGTAAATAACTTAGTACTTTACTAGTTATTTAATGGATCCCGTTATGTTCTAGTGGATATTCGCCCATTTTTAGGAAGACAGATGATAATGAAAAAATTTTTTTATTGTTATTTCAGACACTCGTGGATATTATTAATTGACTTTAATTAAAAATTAGAGTATAAAATTGATTATTATATCCGCGTATAATAAATTGTACATCAAAAACGTTGTAGTATCAACCCTAAATGACTCAAGTTAGATAAATCAATTAAAATTATATCTATAAAGCTATGGTATAAGTATAATTAATTATAATTGTAAAATTCATTACTTTTGAGTTTTATTATTTATTATAAATAATTGTAGTTGTTATCTTTGTTAAAATAGCTGATAGAAAAGATTAGAAATTATGTGTAGCCCGGTGTAGGTAATAAAAAGCAATATAATATTCTTACTTCTTTTCTAAATGTTTAATTAATGTACTAATATAATTTCAAAACTATTTGGTTTCCTCTAGGGTACCTTATAAAAAAACCTGTATGAAATATCCCATATAATATTTTTACCTCCAAGTTTAGTACTTATTAAGTCAATTTACTCTAATACTAAAGCTAATAACACAATATAGATTCTGCTAAACGTAAATTTAGTGTTTTTTTTTTTTTTTTTTTTTAGAACCATTAGCTTATAACTATTACAAAATTTAGTATTATTAGCATAGTTAATATTCTATTACGTTTATATGCTTAAACCGATAATTTACTTCAATTTGAATCTGGTTTACCAAAAACAATTTAGTTGATACACATTTAAAATGCGCATTAGAAATAACTTTAAGAGTAAAAAATGAATATTAACGAAGAACACTATTACAACCAAATCAAAATTGCAGTAGGTATATCATTATTACATAAGAAATAAAAGTTATTAAGGTAAATTGGTTTGTACGTGTAAACATATCAACGTAAACTGTTTTAGTGGAAGCGTATTACATTTATACGGTTTTAGTAGTGCACGAATTCTAGGAGAATGAAAAGTATATATTACTGCATTATTATTATTATTATTATTATTACCTATTATGACATCTCTGAAGATAGATATTTTAATTACGAAGCAAGTAATGACCATTTTAAAACAGTATTTTTTTTTTGTAAATTTTAAAATGTTTATAATTTTTTAAAACTAAAAATCGATAACAGCTTCCAAGATACCTTAGAAATTAATCTTACCTTTACATTTTATAATTGGTTAATTCACTCTAATTTTAAAAATAACAGAGTGAAATAGATTATTGTGTACGTAAATTTATGTACGTTTATAAGACAAAGAACAATACATGTGGGTGCGTTATAATTCTTTCTAAGTTAATTTGAATTAATAAATACATATAAATTAGAGTAAATAGACTTGTTATCTAACCTAAAGGTAAAAAAATTATTCTACAAGTATTAACATTTTTCAAGCGAGCCTATATGTAAAATATTTAAATTAAATATTGTTCATAACGTGATTAAAAATTCTCATATCGCCAATGACCGACACTTAAATACAACTATTCTTAATTTCAGGTTTGATAATAGGTTAATTCACTCTAATATTAAATCTAATTACATAAAATTTGCAAAAAAAAATGCGAGTAATGACGTTCTTAAAAAAATTGTATTAAAATATTGAATGACGTAAACTGAACAGTAAACAAAGTTTAAGGGTTAAATTTCTATGTTTAAAATTAATTGTATTGCTATCTAAGGAAAATAATCAATTGTTCTATAAATTAATTACACTGGATGTATGCTTATATTATTATATATTATATAATTACGAGTACATTCAAATGTTCAGTGATAATAAATTTCAACAGTAATCGTCAATAACCAATAAATATAAATATATATATGTTTATATAATATCCGTGTATGTTTATAGGTTTGAACTTATTATATTCATGTAATACAATTTAATATATTTTAGAATTCACATTATAGAAAATTATTATTTCTAATGTCCGCGTTAATATTCTAAAGTCAAATTTTTTTTTATTAAGATAAACATAAATCGTGGACAATCATACGATAATATTATAATTTAATCCTATTCTATAGTGTAATTTAATGGCTCTTTATGTTTAACTTCTATTTTCGAGCCTCATAACTATTTGAACACTTGTATCGACTTCTCTTGTTTTGTAAATTAAATTTTCGTATATTTCATATACCTATTTATTTTATTTTTATTTTTGCTATAGAAAATGAACACAGCAGCATCAGAAAACGTCAAAATGACTGACTCGACTCCCGAAGAAACAGGAGATAGAGTCAGGCTCAAAAAACAACTTGGTCTCCTCGAAGGCGTTGCTATCATTTTGGGCATAATATTTGGATCTGGTTAGTAATTAATTAAATATATTAAAACTAAAATTGAAATATATTTTCAAACGGATAAGACAGTATAACAAAAATAATAAATTTAATATATTTATTAAATAAATTGAATACATTTAAACGTATTCCTATACATTTTTTCCAATTATAATTCACAGATTTTATTTATCATCGCTAGCTATTTAAAAAAAAGCCTAATGCCTATGTATCTTTTTAATGCATTAATTTTACGTAACAATTAGAATTACTTATTCATTTATGGTATAGAATCGATTTTTAAAAATAAAACTTTTACGTACCCAGTTATCAAAAAAAAAAAAAACATATATATTCACTTTACAAGAAAATCATTGCAATTTTACTAAAAGATGCACAAAAATCACGTATCATATAGGTGTAATTATTCGTATAACCTCTTTAGCTCTTTCAAGATAATATGTATTACACACATTTTTACATACACCGTTAGAATTATTTAAATGATTATTTTTCTGTCTTAATGGTTAATGTATACATAATATATATTAATGATCTTAATTAAACTTTAGCTTTAGCCGCTATTCATGACCATAAATAATATCATAATTCATAATAAAAATAATTTTATTCGCACAACACGTGTCCTTTCAATTCTGATTTTATTTTTACTAAAGAGACACACTTATCATTATTCTATCTATTATTAATGGATTTTAATTGTATTTCTAAAATATTTTAGAAGCAATTATGTATTTTTAGTTACTATATACCTATTGACTAGATGTTAAATATCTTTGAAATAAATAAAAAAAAAATGATAAAGTTAGTGTAATGTTTAATGGCATTTGTTTAATTTAAAAAACTATCATTTAAAATATTCAATAGTTAACCATTGAAATGTCTATACTAAATATATAGTCCCTGTATTATAACTTATGAATGACGTGCACATTAAAAACGATGCAGGTTTATAGAAATAATTACAACTACAACTTGAAGAATGAATAAAAACTGTTATCTATAACATCTCAAAATTCAATTATTAGCCTACATAGATTAATATAATACCAACTATTTATCAAATCCAAAAAATTTGTTTTTAATAAAATGTGTCAAAAATAAGATCACATTATGTATATGCATTTACATAAATATTCAAAACTGCACGGGTAGTTATTATAATATTATAAATATAGTTTATTTTACCTAATAGATTGTATAATTTATTTAATGGATTTTTAAACTATTGAATCGCCGATGTCCATGGGCCCAACGATTGTCATTCGTTATTATTTTCAAAAAAAAGTCATTGTTCGAATTCACACATTGATATATGTTAATACGTACACATTTATACAAAATCACATTATCGTTTAGAATCGCCCACCAGTTAATCATATTTAATCAAAATTACAAAATCATAAGTAATTAAATTAATTTAAAAGAATATTTGAGAGTACCTACTGGGATATAAATTTATTCCAATCTAAGTATATCTATTTTATCTTAATGTTTATTATTGCATATTTTTACGAAAATTTGTTTAATAACAATATATGTTTAATTTTTTACTGTCAATCAACTGTGTATTTGGTTATATGAATTATTGACCTTCCAAATTTCCCTTTTAAACAATAGAAAATCATGTGAAATTTTTAATAACGCCTCAGGAACCCAATTTTCTAAAGACTTGTTATAAGTTTATCATCAGTAGATTTTAAACTGTTATCTAAAAAAAAAGAACACTGGTAAGATGATAGTCGACAATATGCCAGCTGTACTGACCGGTCGACTTTCGTATCAATTATATTTTTTTAGCTCGCCTCCAGACCTATTATTTCCTTATCCTAAATATTATCCGTAATAACGAGATATTTACATTATTAAATATTATGTTTAGCCTTGAGGTGTAATCGACATTAATTATCCAATAAGAAGCAATACCTCGAGTATATTATATTACAATGCTCCAACATTTTCTCAGCATGGTCTCGAAACACTTATACAATTATTATTGAAAGTGAATACATTTTTTTTTTTTTTTATAGGTTTATTTTCGAACATACAAACATTAATATTAGTATGTTAAAGTTCATATTTATTGCGGTGGCTATATTGATGAATTTAAATTGTATTTAATTTTATGTGCTCCTGTATCAATGATATTTACTCTTATAAAATATATCATGATCTCTGCGTATATATCAATAACACGTTTCTTTCTACAATTTTACATTAAATATAAATTCCCTTATACACATAAGTACCTAATATTAAAATTGTACATTTTTTTTTAAATTCCTATCATCAGTTATATAGTTGATTATAACAATAAATATTAAATTATTATCTACTAGGCGCCTATTTTATTTTTGTTCTTGACTAAACACCGACTTCACAAGCATTTTGGGTACAAATTCAGAACACAATTTAATTTGAATTAAAGCTACACAATTTATTAGCTGAATCGCGTTTATATGCATAGTGATGTAATTTTGTGAGTTATGAATTGATATGATTACCATGTATTGTATACGATAAAATAACTTTTTAATTTAGTACCGGAAAACTCTACGAAACAATATTTTTTGCAAAATTAGTACTGATTTATTGAATTAAATAACAAAGTGAATCTGTGGGATTGAATACTTAACTTTAAAAAACAGTACATATCAATTGTTCAATCCCTGGCTCTTATAAATCACATGTAGAAAATATTTTTAGTCAAAGGTACCTATTTTCTATACAAGTATTTTCAAAATAAAAAAATCGTCTATAAAATGCAAGTTCATAACCGTGTAAAGTTATAACCATGTTGATTTTCTGAACAGAATACTATTAAAATACTAGGAGAGGGTGTATCAGAAAATTGTTTTCACTATATTATGATAGATATTATAACATTAAAGAAAAACAGAAATCATTATTACCTGTCATAATAATTTTAGAATAAACATATATTGCCTGTGTTTTATCAGAAACTTTTTTTAATACAGTGTTTTTAAGAGTTATCAGGTTATCAGTATTTAATTTTTATTTTTTATTGCCTTATACAAATAATGATATTAAAAAGTTTCTGATAAAACACAAATTATGTTATGTCTTAAGTGATCATAATAATTGAAAATGGAGATTAAAATATATACTCAATGTTTTAAGCCTTGTTAACGTAGCCATTTTAATGATTATAATTTACATTATTATTTATAATCTTGACTAATCTACAGTACCCATATTTAAAAACGCTTAAATATTATGATAAATTTTACAATATAGATACAGTGCATTCTATCAAATGTTTTAACTCGAACAGTATTTAAAAAAAAGTATATATTATTTTTGAAATTATTTTACTTAATAGTTAATTACCATTATATTATATACGCTGTTTGATTAACTATGATACGTTTTCTAGTATTACGTGCCAGTGGCGGCTCATACCTAGGTGTGCAAATGTGCGCACACCACATAAATTAATACAAATAAAATAGTAAAAATAGATTTTCAATTTTTGCACAATTTTTATACAATTTAAATTTAAGTATAATAATTTATTAATTTAAAAAAAAAAAACTATGTAATAAATACACATCATTTGATGTGCAGCTCGGTCAGAACACCATTTGTCTATGTACATTTTTTAGGCCATTGAGTGGGGGGTTGACGAAAATTAATGGGACCGTGGTGTACAGCGATTTCAGTACACGCGGTAGCCACGACGTTCCATGTTGGTTATTACTGTATAGAAAAAAGACTTAAATTCATGTATAAAAATGTAAAAAAAATTTTTTTTGTTAATTTATACAATTTATAATAGGTTAAAATTTACGCATAGGTATATAAATTGTTTTTTTAAACTTAATATAAATATTTCAATACATATCGTACTGTAATAATATTTAAGATAAAGAATTAATTTTTTTGAGAATTGCACATCACCCACTTTAAACACTACGAGCCGCCACTGTTACGTGTTACAATAGAACATAGTGCATCATATGTTTTCACATCATACCAAACGTGAAATAAACAATGTCTTATCAGACGTATGAAATTTATTCGTATATGAATATATTATATATTATTATGATATACATTTTAATTCGATGTACAGTGCATATAATTAAATCAATAATATATTTGGCCTTTGGAGATTTCATTGTCATCCTAAATTAATCGTACCTATTGCGTACATTATTATTAATTGTTAATATTTAAGCAACTCATTACTGAACAAAGAGAAGAAATAATGATAAATAATAATTATATTCCAAAAAATTGAGGCTTTTGAATCCATATGTTTTTCTCTTAAAAATTTCCCCTCCATTTCACAACCTAATTAGTTTCTTCTACAATCAGAAAATGCTCTAAAATATTTTTTATTTTTTCTCATTTAAAATGTGTGATAAATATTTAATTTCCCCTTGAAAAACATGTATATTTAACAAAATACATAGAAATTCGTGGTAAAGCATTTAAACAACGATTAAGCAAAATAGTAACATTTGAAATAATTTGTTTAATCATTTGTAATCGCACGATGATATGGACATTAAAGTAGAATTATTATACCTGCAGTTTCTCAAAAAAAAATAAATAAATATTTTTTGCGTTGACAGAGCTTAACTGAAAACTACTAGTTTTAAAATAATACATTTTTATCATTTATCATTTCACGGAAAAATTTATATTACAATAGAGTAGGTTATAAGATTGTTCGCCAACTGCTACCACTTTCAACATAGTATAAACAATAAAAATGAAATTTATTCAAAAGATCCATTCTACTGCCATCTATTTCTATAGTATTCTTACTAAAACGCTTTATTATTATGCTATTGTATTTATTATAATATTCAATCACCTATGTAGAATATGCTATCAAATTACAAATCACTATACTAGCAGTGAATTCTATGAAAGTTTAGTCAATTGAATAAATTGTGCAGTGTATTCATAGAGTATTAAAATTATATGTGTTTCATATCAGAATAGCGAAAGACTCCGTGGGGTTCGATTATCCAGGTGAGGGGAGCAGTAATGTAGCTAAATAAGTAAGGAGCGATAATGATTTAAATTCTCCCTCCACGCCCACGCCTCCTGAGGATCTGTCACTGACTTTATCTTGGCTATATCACTTCTACTGTAAATTTCTGTATTATTACTATTATTGTTCAAAGATTAAAATATTATATGTTCGCATAGTAGGATCGTTGAACTATTCAGAATTTGAGTGTCGTAAGATCTTGTGTTTATTTTTTTGCTACCTACCCATAACATTCGTTACATAATTAACCTCTACTTACAACAATGATAGTATAATATATTATGTATGCTTAAACAATTAATATTAATAAATTATAAACAATATAATCGTATCGTGTTTAGCAAATATAGAGAACTAACATGGCACGTTGATCTAATTTTAATGGTACACATAGTTGTTTATATCATTTTTGAATCTAGCCTGAAAAAAAAAATTTATTATTTCTAAACGATATAATATTATTATATTTACGTAATTACAAACGCTAATTATAACTATACAATTTTGAAACTGGAATTCACTTCAGACATATTTTATATACTTTAAAAAATACGGTTTATCCCATACTTTTGGTCAACGTACAGTTGTAAAACAAACATTTTTTACGATAAACGCGTTCAGATCAAAATGAAACAATTAATATCGTGTTTCATTAGGTTTACAAAATATATGCCTGATATTTAAAAACCGACCAACGATTAACCGTAACTAAAATCATTTATCAAAATAAAAAGAAATGAGTGGGAAGTTCACTTGACAATTTATTAAAACGGAAAATAATATTAAAATGCTCTCCAATACTTTTTACACCTAGTTATGATATTAAAAACAATAATAATAATAATAATTTAATATTATAATATAGTCGCATAATCGGACAAAAGATTGAAATGGTTAACAGAGTACGAAATTTTACCTAAGCGCCGTGGACCTTATTTTAATATTTGTTTGTTTGTGTGCAATGCCCATATAGGTATATTCATCTCGCCATCGGGCGTGATGACAGAAGCTGGATCGGTCGGCCTCAGCTTGACTATGTGGATCATGTGCGGCATGTTGTCCATGATCGGCGCACTGTGTTATGCCGAACTGGGCACGTCCATACCGCGGTCGGGCGGCGATTACACGTACCTGTTCGAGGGATACGGACCGCTGCCAGCGTTCCTCTACCTGTGGGACGCCATGCTCGTGTTTGTGTACGTATAAATATCAAATAAATAAATATTGTTGCATTATATACATATATAGGCGAAACGGTGTAGTTATTTAATTTGAGCGAGATAGAATACCCAATTGTAGTACACAATATATGCGATTAGAATAAAATTATGATGAATATAAATAAAATTTGCGTCACACCTTGCCAACTGTATTTGTTCCGAACACTTTGATTTTAAGTCCAACTTTCAGTATTTCTGTCATTACTGTGCAAAGACTTCAAAATATGGAAAAATGAGTATATATACAAGAGGGCAGAGGCATAGGCTGTTTCTCGTTCTTATATTGTTTTGTTGATAAAAAATTAACTGCATTAAATACTTGCAATAATGGTTGACCAGTTAAAATTATGGCGATACTAAAATAACGGTTACTCGTGTGATTATCAATTTTTTTTTTTTTGAAACTATTAAACGATTTTTGCTGCAGTTTTAATTTTTGAATTCGTTTTAAAAATCGATTTTCTACTGTGGGTCGGAGTACAATTTAGCACACCCATTTTTCTATTATATATTTATATTCAATTTTACTTCCATTGGGTCAGCAGTAAATATAATTTACTAAACATTGATAAAGTTCTGATTTATTGCAGTACTTAAACAAAAGTTTCCGACATTAGGTCTAGGCCCTACCCGCACAATACACATGCCCTTTTGCCGAGTCCCGTCCGGATAGTTAACGCTTTCCCGGCCGTCGGGGGTTAACGTCATCTTACATCTATTTGCTTGCACTGTGCAGGCCAACAACCAATGCCATCATGGGACTAACGTTCGCTAACTACGTGATCAAACCGTTCTTCCCAAACTGCGACAACCCGGATCAAGCGGTCAGACTTCTGGCGGCTGCCGTGATTTGTAAGTATAACCGCTGTGCTATAGACGTCACGTTAAAATTAATCATTATAATACCGTCGTTGACATGATACAGGTTTCATAACTTTCATCAACTGTTGGAACGTCAAGACCACTACTAAAGTTCAAAACGTGTTCATGTTCACCAAGATATCCGCCTTGGTATTGATCATCGTATGCGGCGGCGTTTTCCTGTGCTCAAGTCAGTATATACATCCAAGAATATAGTTAATTATCATTTATCTGTAATCGCCAATCAGGTTTGGCGACTTTTAGTGTGAACAGATGACTGTATACTACCGTCTGTTCGTTTTTATAAGTAGCGGCAGGAAAATAACTTAATTTTTTCTGTTTTTACTATAATTTAAAAACAAATCGTCTGCGGATGTATTTTAATTGTACACCACGTTAAAAACGAATATAGTGCCATTCCTGGAAATACAAAATTTCGTACAATTATTTATAAACAATGACAGTTTGCGTAGGCATATAGGTGGAAGTTTAATAACAGAGGAACACTAAAAAATATTATTATTATTTTCCTCTAGCTGTGGACTCGCCTACCCTATTATCATTTTAAATCGATAAAATTGTAGTAAGTTTACATTTTTGTTTTTTTTTTTACAATTAAACTTAAATCAATTATATAGATGTCTAAATATTAATAATAAAATAAATTTATATCCGAGTGTAATATTCACTAAATAATTTTAAATAATATTCGATGTTGCAATTTGTGTACGTACTACAGACTCCATACTCGTACAGCGTATATACAGGACGATTTTCCAAGCATGATCACTTTAATTTTTCATTTAGATATTAATGAATTTATTCAAATTCTGATTTTTGAAATTTTTAAATTTACTTAAAACCCAAATTATTTTGAGATTTTTGAGATTTAATTTACTACTTAAAAAGTGCCCTATGGTGATATACTAACTAATTTTTCAAAATTTGAACGAGTATTCTTTTTCAGTTATTAAAGTGTTGACAAGGTTTAAAAAAAAATTAAAATAGTTGTAATATTGGATCTATAGAGTGTGGAACCATTTTCACAAATTATAAATTTTGTTAGAATGATACTTAAATATTTAAGTCATCATTGCTCCCTTATCTTCAAACCATGCCGTCATGAGCTAAATTCTTAGTGTGCAAATTTAGATAATTGATAAAAATTATTCACTAAATAATGTGCATTAGAGAGGGGAGTTCTCAATTAAAAAACAGAAGTTTGTATTTCCATAGAGTAGGTACTTGTTGTACAAAAAATATCAACAATCTGAAAATAATTTGGATTTAAGTAAATTTCAAAATTTCAAAAATCAAGATTTGAATAAATTCATTATCAAATGAAAAATGGGATGAACATGCTTGGAGAATCACTCTGTACTAGCTCAAGTAACGCGTTGTATGCGACAAAACGCCATTATTGTGTAGGTAGACGTCTGCATGACGTCTCGCCCCGTGTTCATCCTATCATTCCTATCATCCTGATACCTACACCATTTACCTACCCACCTACTATGTATGCAAACATCTGCATCTATCTACATCCTACTTACAGTTTTTAAATTATTAGCGTTCCTGATATTTAGTATAATATTTGAACACTTACAATGGATTATGGAAATTACTTAGTTATTCGATGTACACAACACATATAGCTTATTATACAAGGTTATACTCGTACAAGCTTATTTACACGTTAGAAAAGAAAATTTGAATTTTATACGTTGAATATATATTTTCATTAATTTGTAGTTCGTGCTAATACTACGAATGAATATTTAAAATGTATAATCATTAATAATATACTGCAAGTAAGGCATGTTTATGATATTATATTTATTATCTACATAGGTTGTTTTAACTCTACCTAGTTGTTTCAGTTTTTAATCATTTTCGTTACAAAAATAAAATCCGTTAATTAGAGGATTTGAGCCCCTCCCCCATTACCAGTATACGTAAACCACTGACTGTTATGTAATACATAACACGTGTAAAGTGCCGTAACTAGAGGTTGGCGACATGGGCGCTTGCCAAGGGCGCATTTGAGTTCAATTAAAATTGGTTTTTTAAACAAACATAAGCGCCAAAATAAAATTCGCAAAGGGCGCCGCCACGAAGGGTAGTTACGGCACTGCACGCGTATGGACAACAATTTATTATTACTTTTATAATTAATGTTCCTCGATTTGTGTGCAGACGGATTTTCCAAATTCATGAACCCTTGGCAAGGATCAGTCACAGATCCGGGAAGACTGGCCGTCTCCGTTTATTCCGGCATATACTCGTACTCAGGATGGTGAGATTGCTTTACCTTTCCAACGGTGGCATAATGAACGCATTGATAACTGTTTTTTTTTTCATTTTCAGGAACTATTTGAATTTTATGACCGAAGAACTGAGGAACCCTTACGTGTGAGTATGGAATTACAAAGATTGTAGTATATTCAGCCGCCGTGTAGTCGGCGATTCTCTCATTTTTTTCTGCAACACGCATGATTTACCGAGACAGCTGACTGGCCACATACGAAGTATTTACGTACATAATATTGATCTGTCGATTTTGTCTTCACAGGAACCTGCCAAGAGCCATTTACATTTCCATGCCGTTGGTGACCATTATCTACGTGTTGGCCAACGTTGCTTACCTAGCCGTTCTGACGCCGCATGACATGGTGTCAACTAAAGCAATTGCAGTCGTGAGTGATATAATTTAATTTTTTTTTTCATAACTCTAATATACCTAATAAGTATTTTTTTCCAATCAACTACAACTTACTGTGTGCTGAATTCAATAACACAAGACGCTTATTTTAATGTTCCTCAGTCAATTTTCATTATTTTATGTAATTTAAGAATTTAAGATTAGGATACCTATTACATAGTACTAAAAAAGTAATTTAATTAAAATGCATTAATTTATTTGATGACTTTTTTCAAAGACAACTCATAATTTTATTTTCATAAAATGTATTATTCAATTCACTGAAAATATTATGTATATGCGTACCTATTGTTGTAATTTGTATTGAGTAGGTAGGTATTGAGCGAGAAGATTTATGTTATAAATTTATTACAGAATAAAGAGCCAAGTAGTTTATCCCATACTTCTATGTATTAACTGTTGTTCAAAATATGCATGTTTTGAATAAATAACTACAGCCTGAATAGTTGATATTTATGGGTTAAGATTTTAATAAGATAGCCTGTTTTAGATTAAGACATTGAAAATCCAGATGATATAATTGAATAAATTCACTATCATTAAATCACAATGTGTTTAATATGAAACTTAATTTTTTATAACTATAATTTCCTATACAGTACAGCAATTAAGGTATAATATAGAGTAATGATATGTTTTTATTTAGACATTTGGCCATTTGGCAATGGGTTCGTTCGAATGGATCATGCCGTTGATGGTTGCCCTATCGGCATTTGGCGGTCTGTGCGTTCACGTCATGACTTCATCCAGGTAGTTTAAAATTCTGACTACTACGTGTTGTCCATGATTAATTTAATGTTAACATGTTGATTTTAACGAACAATAAATTTCTGACGGCTTCAATTTTATTGTATACCTACAATAATTTATTTACTGACAAAAAAAAAAGTCTATGCTTCAGAAAAAACATAATAATTTTATCTAACATCTTAAATTAAGTAGTTAATTAATTTTAAAAATAATCACTTGTTTTGCTTGACTCACATCTAATGATTTGCTGACAAAATTCATTTGTTATTAAAATTATATACTTTATTACTTTTCAGAATGTGCTTTGTTGGAGCGCGATATGGTCACTTCCCATCATTTTTGTCACACATCAATGTAGAAAGGTACACACCTACCCCATCTTTAGTGTTTTTGGTAAGATAAGCAAGCATCATAGTTAGGTTTTCCATAGTCATCCAACCATAACCTGTTGTTGTTTCAGAACATATTATCTCTACTCATGCTCTTTACAAGTGATGTCAGCATGCTTATAACGTATTCAAGTATTGTAGAGGCATTCTTCACAATGCTATCAGTATCATCAGTATTGTGGAGCCGATGGAAGCGTCCAAACATCAACAGACCAATCAAGGTATGATGACAGAAATAAAAGATGCATACATTAAAATCTAAATTGTATATTGTTTATACTAACAATTCTAGGTTTCCCTTTGGATCCCAATCACATATGTAATAGTGTCATTATTCTTAATTGTATTGCCATGTTATGTAAAACCTTTTGAAGTTGGCATGGGAGTTGGCATCACCTTGTTGGGCATTCCAGTATACTATCTATGTGTAGTTTGGAAAAAAAAGCCTGTGTGGTTCCAAAATACATTAAGTAAATCTTGAAAATTATATTAATTATAAATTCTTTTGAATAAACTTGTTCACCATTTTAATATTTCTATAACTTTACAGAGCATGTTACGTTCACCATTCAAAAGTTGTTTGTTAGTGCCAAAGAAGAAAAAGAAGAAGATATTTGGGAATAATGATATGGATTTCTTAATTTTACGATCTACTTGTCAATTATTGATTTTTGATGGTTTCAAGTGTTCACCTAAAACATTTTCTCTCAAAACATTTAAATTTTCCAGATTTAATTTACTCTCATGTTTTTTTTTTTTTAGTACTAAAGACATGAATTTTTTATTATGCTACTTACTATACTCTGTCTAGTAAGAGGATACCGAGGCTTAATGAAAATTGGTTTTCCTGCAAATCCCAATGCACCAAATCCTACCATAGCGGGACTGATCTCGATGGCAAGGTGACCCACATAAGGATGCGCAAAATTAGCATATACTCACGCTAGACAGAGTATATAAACATTTTCCAGTTTTACTTTTATTTTATTTTTTATTTTTATTGTCAATCAGTATTACAAAATGTATAAATGTTTATATTAAATATTATTTACATTAAAAGAAAAAGTATGTACTTTAATTTGTATTCATTTGAGGAAACCATATTGTTGCTTACAAACATTACTGGACATGTCTTGATTAAGAGTTTCATTGAGTGCTTTGTTCAACAGAATACCAATGTGTGAACCAGACTAAAAATATAATATATATATAATATGTATTATGATTTTGGCTTTATGAGTTTAAAATAAAATAAACTATTGTTATTACCGTAATGATCTCATTTAATGTATCTGGCATAAAACTACCAGCTCCTTTTTTCAATACGGCTGTTACATTGCCTTTGGGCGTAACAGATACAACGATACATCCTGCACCACATATTTCTTCCTCTATAGTAGGATCAGCCACATAACTATTGCCAATTTTGCACAAAGATACCAAAACAGGTAGGTCACTCTCGTCTAGCAGTTTTGTATCAAACGGATCATCAGATATCTGGAGATCGGTATTTTGACCATCTTCATATATCCCCACAATATTTGGTAAACTTGTATTGCACAAAGCAGCTTTAGCTGCCAATGATACAGCATCAAATAAATTTCCTTTTAAATAAATATTCTGTGATTAAAAAATGTAAGTAATAATAAATACATAAATGTTTGAAAAAATAAATATAAATAAGCAGTTAATCAGTTATAAGTTTATAACTATAACACTATTCTTACCATGTTATGTCTAATAAACTACTCATTCAAAGTTTAATTTTTACAAAAAAATGAATCTAAAAAATATTCTTCTTAAGAATATGAAATTAAAAATATTAAAATCATACAAAAAAGTAAAGAACAAAAAATTATAATAAAAAAAACTTTTTTGTAAAATATTATTTTGAACGACAAAGTTATATTATTTTATAATAATATAAAAGGGCAACTCTAATAAAAATGTATTTACTTATTACTTACTATATAAAAATAAATTAATAGTATCACACAGCATAATATATAAATAGTAAATTGAAAACAAAGGGTACTTAAAATTTAATAATAAAGTAATGAATATTTTAATTTAAAAAAAACCCCTCCTGTTGTAGTATACCCAATTTGATTTTTATCTAATACTTAATATTATTGTTAATTATGTAATGTTTTAAAATTAAAAAATAAATAGATCATAATAAGTCATAGCAATGCATTGTAAAAATTTATGTTTTAATCAAATGTCTAAAATAAATATTAAATTATGAACTATAGCAATAGTCAGTGCCGTAACTACCCTCTGTGGCACCCTTGGCGAATTTCATTTTGGCGCTTATTTTTGTTTAAAAAACCAATTTTAATTGAACTCAAATGCGTCATTGGCAAGTGCCCATGTCGCCAACCTCTAGTTACAGCACTGGCAATAGTAAAAATATTATCTTATAAAACAACAGAAACTTCCTACAATTTATAGTTTTTATTACTACAACTTATCACTTAATCCATAAAAGATCAAACAAAATATAATAATTTTCTTATATTGATCCAATGAAAATCAGATGTAAAATGTTATTATTTTTTTTCTGTCTATTTACAGCATTAAATAATATACTGTAAAATTAAATAACCATAAATTCAACCACTGAATTTAATTATGACCTATTTTTACCATACATAAATAAAATAGGTAAATCAGTATGAAGCTTACCCCCGCATTCTAATATCAGAACATCGACAAACAATTTCCAACACGATTGTCCAGGAACAATACACAATTTGCTTAAGTTAAACACTGGGCTATGAGCTAAGGAAAGAAAGCGACTGAGTTCAGCAGCTAAATGTTCACCACCACGTCCTTCAAATGCTGGAGTTGCATTAGCCGAACTACACAAAATTAAAGATATCAATGAGCACACTGTATGGCCAATATTTACCAATAACTGAGAATAATTACCAATCAACAAAATACTCTATTTTGCCATCATTTGGTGTTTCTGGAAGTGGAGTGTCAATCTCGATTTTAACGCATACTAAAATATCAGAGTTGGCTAATCGCAAGCGTGCTGATCCATTAGCATTGCTCACGATGTCCATTTCCAATTCCAATGGCCTGTAATCTTGTCGACTGCGTCCATCGCATCGGAAATTTTCCTAAAACAATAACGGCAGTGTTCTAGGTCAACCGGCAATGTTTTTTAATTGAAGAGGTCAGTTAAATTGCTCGTGCCTTTGAATCATGAACTAGACCGACACTTACGAAACGCAAGCAAATCTTTGTACAACTATAGACTTACCTCGACTCCGTGAATAATGTATACCTTTTCTGCCTCGTTCAACGATACCAAACTCATGCTTAGTACTCGTCAATATTTACACAATTAACTAAAAACCAACAACGGACTTTTGATATTCGGTTTACTCCAGATGGCAATTTTCACGACAACTAATTAAAAAGTAAGTACTGATTTGTATTGTAAATTGTAATATTAATAATAGTATCTCTACTATCTCTATTCTCTTCAGTATCTCAAGATTTATATTCGAACCGGTAAAATTACTAAAATTGTAAAAACGGTGCCTTGAGCACATGTTAAAGATAAACATTGATAATACAAAAAAATCATAAAATAAGAGAATTGACGAATTGATCCAATGACAAAAAGTTCACATTGTTTTTAGTTGTACGTTGTACCATTGATTATAGAATAGACTATTCTATAATCAATGGTTGTACCCACAGGCCGTGGCGGCGGCATGACACCATAAGGCGAAAGCGTAAAATATCTCTTATTAGTATTCCTATTCCATTTTATTTTGATTTTTGAGTTAAGTACAAAACGTTATCCCACCACATTTGATGTATACGACTTGCTAACGAATAACAAATCAAATTTTACATTCTAGAGTGAAAATGTAATTCTAGGTATGAAAATAATTTTCATAACTATTTATTTACCTATAGGTACTTAGACAGGTACCTACTTACTATGTTAGTTACAGTTGGTAATAATTTTATTTAAACTCTTTATTTCTATTTATCCAACATTAACAACTAATAAACTAACAGTACATTATTATAAGAATATCATCAGTATGATAAAATCAAAATACTATTAGGTACCTACCTAAATAATAATAAAAGTAATTTAAAAAATAAAGTCGTAAAATTGTATTAGGTATCTACGATAAACAATAATATTATAAGGTTTAAGATAATTATCCGCCATTCAAAAGTTAAAACTGAAGACATATCAACATTTACAATTAAGTCTGAAATAACCAAAAAGAATCATTTGAGTATCTAAAAATAATATAAAATAATAAAATCCACTTATCTACTGTGATGTGATTTAAGATTCAGACTTCATAGGTACATAATAGTTCTGTTAGTTCTCAAATATTAATGCTAAAAGAAATGTATTCTAAATTACATTCTAATATAATATTTAGATAAATGTAAAAAAAAGGATTCTATACCTATATAGAGTCATAGAGATGTGTAATTAGGAATGTTTAAAAGTGTATAGGTACCTACTTACTGAAAAATTTGAAATATATTTACAACACCTGTAATATCGTATAATTTAAACTTAGTCGCTGACTGCAGATTTTTTCACAAAACTCAAGTTGCCAAGCACACTGTTTATAATCGATTTTCCAAGACGAGTGCTAAAAAGTAAGGTGAAATACAATAAAATTAAAAAAGTCCCTTCAGTAAACCCTAGGCATAATCACCCGTCGGTTAATTTATACAATTTTTGTTCCTCATAATTAGTTTTAATTCACTTTTATACTAATAATAGTACCATATGTTTTTAAATTATTTAATTATTTTATCAAAATATTTTGTACTGAACCGTCTCAACCGTCTGGACCAATTATGTTAATATTACAACAATTTTACACTAGTTATATTATATGATAGGTACAGTTTATATTTAAATATTTGCACATTGTTCTGTGTTTGAAGTAGCAAACTAGGTATTATTTTAGCAACTCTTTAATAATTATACATAATTTTAAGTATTTATCATAAGAACTGTTTATTTTTTATTCAAAAAATTTGCACCGATAAAATAAATACCTACCTCAATATTGAAACCTACTTAGTACCAATAGTGCATAATCATCATAAAAATACTATCAAATATAACAAAAGAAGAAACATTTTCAATAATAAATATACTTAAAATCATGTATTGTTAGAAATGAAAAAAATAAAAATAACCAAAGTTAAATCATTAAAAATTTTTTTATCATTAACTTCGATGCAGGGAAAACTCATTCTATTAGTATAGCTAACTGAACATAATAAGTTTTACTGAACACAAACATGCGAAGTTAGATGTATGTTAGACGGAGGTTACATACGCGAGTTTAAGATAATTTAAAATTTTTGAATTAATACAAACATTACAAAACATTTTATTGTTACATGTACTTAATAATATAGTTCTTTAAGTTTTTTAAATAATTAAATCAGTATCTGCTTGATAATCTGTATTCTGAGGACAGAAAATCGTTTAAAAAAGTATGGCACATGGGGATGACTAAAAATTTATTTTTTTAAATAGGGCTGATTTTAAAACAAAACACAATTGGCCCCGGGTGTTTTGAGTTTATGTTGCGGCGTCCATATTAACAGCGATCGCCAGAATCAGCCATCGGGTAATAGGTATTCGACAATTTTGACAACGGTACTGATGAGACACTGTCTTTTAATAGAACGAGTGTTTAAATAAACTAAATATAATTAAAATTGCCTATATTTAGCCCGTTGGAAATCTGACGTGTGCGAGATCTTACCACAAAAAGATAGGCACTATGACTATAGGGCTCGATATTCTTAGAGTAATCGAGTGCTGTTATTCATATTACGTGACACAAAAGACTATAAGGGATTGATGATTGGTGAAACACAAGTGTCTAGATTCGGATTTTGACATTCCTAAAAGTAAATAAGCCGCGATAAAAGGAGATAATTTTTTCTAGTTTTTTAATTGCATAAGTACGTATCCTCCTTATTTCTTAGTAACGTAAAGTGAACAAATTACTTTTATTTAAGTCAAAAATTCCCGTTGAAAAACGATCTAAATTTATAACACTAAGTTGCAAGTCAAAAGTTGGAAGTTGGAAGTGTGCAAATAGATTTATGAAATCTAACTTCTATGTAATATTATATAGATAAGATTTAGAGTTTAGACATAACGAAGTTTTATCTGTTAATTTTTAAATTTTTTTTGTTTTGTAATAGTATGAAGGCGATTTTTCAAAAGCTGGAATTTGTAATGATAACAAAATGTCGAGACTTAGATCAATTAATTTTTTTAATCAAATATTCTACATTATACCAAGTGTTTATAAATCATTAAACATATCTATTGTCTTATCATGAGTAAAAATAAGTTTATTAAAAAAAAGTGTGTAAGAAATATATTTTTTTCAGTGTAATGAAGTTGAGCTTGGAAGTAATTTACATCATGAATGATATTCCATTATAGAAAAAGAATCATTTTTTTAATGTTTCTTTTAAAAGTATAGATCAGTTCTAGATGAAATGGTAATTTAAAAATATAAAATAGTGATTACATAAATCAATAATTGAGAAAACAAATAAATAATAAGATGAAGTAAAGGGAATACAATTTACATAAATAACTGTTAACACATAAAAATTATTCAAAGGAACCAACAGTCGTTATTTATTTATTTTCTACTATGAACAATAAATAAATAGTTATAACACATAATTCATAATTTGTATACTTTAAAATTAAAAAAATCAGAGTAATAGTTTAAAAAAAAAAAATACATAGTTAATTTGAATCTTTATAAACTGATTACAAATAAACATATCCTTTTGGACTGTAAAATAGCCAAGAGAAAAAAAACAAATAATTTACTTGATAGAAAAAAAAACTGTCTTTCATATAATATAAAGTATTGATAATGTAAACTATAACAAATTATAACCTTGGTAGTCTAATAATTAGCATAAAAGAGGACATAGATTATGCACTTAACTTTGATACACAATCATCAAACACCTGTTTAAATTTATTAGCTATTTCTTCATTCTTGAAACGCACAGCAAGCATCTCTTTTTGAGGCTCAGGATTATCTTCAGTTGTATTCATACACGGCCAACAAAACGCCTTGTTTGAAGATATCATAGGTACTAGTTTTATATCTGACGATATTAAGTGGTTACATACAACTTTAAATACCTACAAAAACAAATAAAACCGTATAATAAAATTAAATCTTTAAAATAAAATGTTAATAACTATATTTTTTTTGGTAAGCTTTACCTTTTCTCTTCTAAATAAAAACCGGTAAGTATTTCTTTCAGGATGAAATAATACTTTCATTTCACCAATACCTCTTTCTTTGTATTCACTTCCATCTTTGCGAAACAATTTTGAACGTTCACAAAATACTATAAAACACAAACAATTTTAGGTTAGCAGTGAATAAATTTTTTGTTTAACCATTACTTACATATTTTCTCGTTTTCTTCTCCTGTTGATACTTCAATAGCATCAGGAAGTGGTATAATTGGTTCAAAATGAGGATCATGGCTATTATCAACTTCTTCCTCACCATTTTCTTCAGATTTTTCACAATTTTTCTCCTCATTAGCGGATTTGTTAAGATTGAAGTTACCTGCCCAAGGATTAACTAAGATAAAACAAAACAACAATTATTAATAAAGTCTTTAAACTATTAATAAATTTTATTTATAGATACCTTTAGGAGTATTTTCATCAACAACAGCTTTATCTTTAACACCAAAAAGACTCTGGCCAAACACTGATTTAGGATCTTTAGGAATTGTTCCAAATTTAAATGGACTATCAGTTTTAGGGCTAAAGTTAAATAAACCTTCTGTTTTGGATTTAATATCATCAGTCTTAGAAAATAATGAACTTTGGGTAGTATTTGATGACTCTGTTGATCCAGAAGCAGAAAATGATCCAAATATTGAAGAAGTGTTCACAGTAGAGGGAAGACCAAATAAGTTTGTTGATTTAGTATCATCTGTTTTAGTAGAATCTGAAGAGAAGTTTCCGAAAATTGGTTTGGATCCAAAAATAGGGACATTATTAGGTGTATTCTTTTCAAAAATGTTAGTTGAAGATTTATCGCCAAAAAGAAATGTGGTAGTTGGAAAAGATTGAGATGTGTTATTTGTTGATGTGACTGGCGTAATATTTGATTCTGACACACTAACTGATACTGTATCTTGTTCTTTCACTCTTTCAATTTCCTAAAGTAAATTAAATTGTATTAATATGTACAAAACAATAATATAATATTATGATATTTGTAAGTCCAATACACAATATACAAGTTTTGTTATTAAGTATAAGATTAAATACATTAAAATTTAATTCTAATAACATATTTTCAACTTTCGCGAGATTGATAATGTTATTATTGAAAAACAGACCAGGATAATCTTGTTAATAATTTAAAATGAAATAAATCCAATTTAGGATAATAATTAATAACATGCACACATAATACTAATTCAAAGATAGTAAACATGAATACATCCATAAAATTGTCAATTATAATACTAATAAATATTTCTTTGATTCAGTAATAAGCGATCATATATAATAAATA